GTGCTTAGTTGCTGGCTGGGGCTAAACCACGACACACTGTTTGTTTTGGGGATAATGCACGACAGCAACTTCTGAAAATCTTTATTGTGCTTGAAGACTGTCTTGGTTCCCCTAAGTCTTTACATCCATAGTACTGAGTGAATCCAGTTCTTTTTATTTCTCCATTTAAGTCATGGGTTTTTACCCTCTTTGATCTAACCATTTTGTAGTGGGTGCAGTTGTTGAAAGTGATTCCTGTGACTAGTAATGTTAAGCAGGGCAATACTGAGTAGAGAAAACAAGCACGTACTTAGCTTTGAGTGTGTAGGTGGTCCAGTCCAGTTAGTTTAAGCATGTGCTGAAGTACCGTGCTGGTTCAGAAGGAGATTAAACGAAATGCATGTGAAATCTGCCTCTTTAAAAACTTTAGGATTTGATTGAAAATCAGCTGGCTTTTAAAGTACTGAGAGGTTTGAATATTGTTTAAATTGAACAAAAATATTTTATCTACATTGTATCTCCTTAGAACATATCTTCTAATGTTTTGGAAGAGTCAGCAGTTTCTGATGATGTTGTATCACCAGATGAAGAAGGTATCTGTTCTGGAAAGTATTTTACAGAAGCTGGTCTGGTGGGATTGCTGGAACAGGCTGCAGCATCTTTCTCCATGGTAGACTTTAATTTCTTTACCTATCTTCTTCAGCAATCTTATACTGCTGGGCAATATGAGGGAAAATGTTTTCTCTATGTGTAACTCTATTGTAACCATTTAATTTGCATGGAGCTTTGGGAGCTTTAATTGTTCAGGACAGCATGGCTTGCCCTCTGGAGTAAACTGTGCAAAGAATGGGATCTGGGACCAAGAGGCCTTTGTGTGTTTCCAGTGTCTTTCACTTCAACACTGCACATTTGGGAGTTCACAACAGTAAAGAAAGGCTGTAATGTTTTTCCTCCTCTTCAAAAAGAGTGGACCAAGAGCTTTATGTGAACAGTGTTAATGAGCTGGTAGTGTATCCATCAGAAGCCAAGGAAAGCAAGTGAATTACTTCCCACAACACAATATGAAACGTCATTCAGTGGGTTTAAGTACAAACAGCAATAACTCCAGAGCAAAGACCTAGAACCCCTGCTGTGGACTGGCTAAGTCATGCAGTGCAGTGTCCCTGCCCACAATGGTCTGGATCCCCTCCATTAGAGACATCCTAAGGAAACTTCACAAATTTCATGGAGTGCCAAAAGTTGAATGTAGAAGTCACTTAGGTTGAAGATGCACTAAATAGAACAAGCTGTACTGTGTCCTTAAGCTTCCGTATTTCATTCTCGTAGATTTGGTTAGGATCCTGTTTAGCTTGTTGTGCTCTTGTGCATATCCATGCAAAATATCTCAGTTTTGATTCTGTTAATAATCTCATTTATTAGTAGCAATGTGTAATGCAGTAGGCTCTTGATTCCAAAGGTGACTGGGGATTTTATTTCATTCATGTATGGGTGTATTTTAAGAAAAGGTGCTGATTATGTCACAGTGCCACCTTTTCATTTTGCAGTTTTGTGATTTAAATGCTGGTAGTATGTATCATTCTTGCTGTTGAATTGATGAAGCGATCTGATGGACCTTATTTTTGTAGGCTGGCATGTATGAAGCAGTTAATGAGGTTTACAAAGTCCTTATTCCTATTCATGAAGCTAATAGAGATGCCAAGAAGCTATCTACTATTCATGGTAAACTCCAAGAAGCCTTCAGCAAGATTGTTCACCAGGTAATGATTTGAATTTTCAGCTGCAATGTGAATTGTGAAGAAACTTCAAATGCTCAGTGCAAATAAAACTACCTGTTAAGGAAAAAACATTTTAATCAGATTACATGAGAATTGTCAAATGGTGATCCACAGTGAATGCAAGGATTGCTGACAGGATTTTTCTTCTCTCTGGACATTTAACATGAGAAACATGAGAGACATCACATACTGAGCTTCGTTGTAACTTTAGAAATTCTCAATAGTTAAAATTCCAATCATCTGTCAGTTTATCCTTTCAGATGTTATTTTAACCTGTGTTTTGCATGCTGTGTTTCTGGGAAAAGCACTGTATCTTGCCTTTAGCCTGGTAGTTAACATTCAGAAATGTTGGGGTTTTATTTGTCTATTCATATGGTGGATAAATAATTGAAGGAACCTTTCTAAACTTGGTGCAAAACCCACCAGTTCAGGTGCTGAGCGTTTGATGAGAGACATCAGAAGTTACCAACCCTCACAAAGCTCAACCGACCTCAGCTAAGCAGGAGATGAGAGCACTTGGCAACTCTTAAGAAGCACATGTTATCTTCTCGAAGAGGCCCATTGGGTGCATGCCTTTCTGTCAGGGCAGGCAAGCACTCGGCAGACCCTCCTCCAGTACATGCCAGTGCTACTCTGAGCCCCCCACCCCAACCAGCTTTCTGGTCATGGGTCGCTGGGTACATGGTTTGTCTGTTGGTGTAGTTACCCTTATATTGCCATCAGATGCTCAGTAAATGTTGATTAGTGCATCGATTTCGTAGGATCCAGCTGACAGTCTGGTGGTTTTCTCTGTGTTCTGGTGTTGCCAGATTCCTGAGGTAAAGTGTACTGATAGAGGACAATCATTGAGTGTCCTTCTAGGCCGGAGAAGGCTGTTTTGGATGCATGATGACTTATAATCATTGAAACCATTTCAGGTTTATGATACCTTACATTGATGGTCATGTTTTGGCCTTTGAAACTTTTTTTTTTTGTTTCTGTGACATGCGCTTTTTACTTTTTATTACACAGAGTACTGGCTGGGAGGTAGGTAACTACATTTTAGTTAGTAAAGAACACTAATAGATTTTTCAGATAACTCACGCCAACGCTTGCCCACATGTGCTAGTTGTGGGTATTTCTGTTGCTGTCTGCTGTTAAAACAATTCATTAACCAAAGAAATACCAATAAACCAATTGTGGTTGTAGTAGGAAATTCTTCATAAGAAGCTGTAGGTAGTGCATGGATGCTGATGTGTTCCACTAATGAGGTTCTTTGGTGAATGAGCCACTGTATCATCACTAGTTTGTTTTTATAATTTGTTTATATTTCTTTCCATCAGCATTGACACAGAATATCATCCCTTCATACCATATTTTCACCCCACCCACAGGGGTCGATTTAAGCAATAATGCTCAGAGGTACTGAAACACAAAACTGGTTTACTGCATGTGCAGACCATATCTCAGAGAATAGGCTGCTTCATTCTGTTCATTTAAGAACAATCAATTTGTCGTGTAGCTGTTTATCTGGCAGTGAAATAGCTCGGTTGTGTTAATTGGAGTCAGTTTTGCTGCTTTCATTTTTGTACAGGCTGTTTGCTCACATTTCTACAACATACACCATGAGAACCACACATTTGGATTAAAAATAGACAAAGCAGTCGGCTTCATCCACAGTCACACACAGCACAGCGAGTTTGACAACTCAGGCCCTAGTCCAGTCAACACAGTGGGTACATGAGCGTCGAGAAGTCTCAGAAGACATTTTAAATGTTTTGTGAATATGATGTTACATTATTTGCTTAGTCTTCAGCTGTCCAGTTAATCTCTGCTTTTCTGTGAATGAGGCAACTCAGTATGGGCCATCTCACTCCATGTTTCCACCACAGGAGAGCATTTAAGCCCACGCTTCCCGAACTGGGGCCAAGAATGAAGTTCTTTTGCATTGTGTGACACAAATAATTTGGGCTGATGATGTCTGAATGCCAGTTTTAATTCTGGCCTAGCAAGAAATGAAATTCAGTAGCTTAAAAGTAACCCCTGACACTTAAGGGCTGGACCTGTAAATCCTTTGCTTGTTCCTCTGAAAAGTCCCAGCAGATGAGGCAGCACAGCAATCCAGAGTACATGTCATAGGAGTGTAAATGAGCTGTGTTCAATAGCCAACAAACGTGAAGGCCTGTGAGCATCTATTTTGATTAGTCTGCCCCTAAATCGACCCCTGAAGAAAATCCTGTCATTGGTTATGATTCTAACATCACTCAGTCATGTTTTACTGCATGGTAAAAGACACCCATGGTTTCTGTTCTCGTCTGTCATCATGCTCCTTCATTGCCACACTTTTTCTGATCTTTGTGCTTTGTAGCTTTCAGATTTGTTGCATGTTTTGCCCTTTTTCCTTATTTTAAATACTTTAATTGATGCTCACCCTTTTTTTTATTTTAAAGTTTATTTGCTGCCAATTTGCTGCTTGTTTGTTTTTTGGAATTTCCCTAATTAAATACTTTCTGTTTTCTCCTCTATCGCCCTGGTTGCTGACCCTCCTCCCCACTCTTACTATTGTCTGTTGTGGTAAGTTCCTACTTGTGGAATTTTGTTTCCCCCCCTTTCTCTTTTTTTTTTTTTTTTTTTTTTTCCCTTTTTGTTTTTTGTTTTCCACTGTGGAAACCCCAATTTCATTCTACCAAAGAGCTATGCCAACAGCAGGACCCCCCCTCATGTCACAAGGAAAGTAGTATTGCCAACTACAAGCACTGAAGTATCCTGAGTCTGGCACCAATGCATTTCTGAGACCTGCTTAAACATACTGAGTGGTGGGTTTTTCTGTTTGTGTGTTTGTTCATTGAATAAATGTTGAATTAACTTTTTTTGTTTACTTTCCAGTTAGGAAAGTTGTTAGGAAAAATCTTTTCATGCTGTGCCATGAGAATTCAAAAATGCTATTTAAAGTATGCAGGGTGAGGTTGCCATCGAATAGCAGGCCTCCAGGAGCTGGTACTTCCAAAATACCAATATTGGAAGACTTGTAATAGTTGGCAACACTGCAAAGGACCTTGGCTTAAAATTGAGCAAGAAAATAACAATGCTCAAGTTTGGTAAAGATGGTTGGATTTTGCATTTTCCACAGTGTGTATGAAGGAGTTACTTTTATTCCTACATACTTCAGGCTGACTCTGCCTTCAGGCAGCTGCTGCTGCGTTGGTCTCGGTGAAGAAAGCAATGATTGCTCTTGCGTCTGATTTTTCAAATATTGTTGGCAAAGCTTTTTGTGTGTGTGCAAGAGATAACTCTAGAACTTTATTCCCAGCAATTTTGAAAGGTATTTACCATGCATAATAACAAGTCATGAACCTTCATAAATCATGATGGCTGTTATCTGCTCTGCCAGTTCTGTAATGGCTATTCAGTGTTCACCTTCATTCTCTTCTCCTCCCAAAGACCTATTATTTTTCATAAAATAATAGGAGATAAAATGCTTTTAATAATTTCTCCCTCATATCTGCATTTTTAGCTCTTTTCAGAAACAAGACCATGGAGTATTTTTAAGTGTTTTGTTTTCAGTACTGTGATTAGATAGACTTTGGTATTGCCTAAATTTCAATTAAAAGATCCTAGTACAGAGCCATCCCATATTCATAACGCCAGGCAAGAAATTGAGCTCTCCTAATCTGAGGAGGCTGGTAGCTACTGAATGTCTATGTGAAGTAAGAAGTAGCCTGTAGGTGTTCACTCTCCCGGAGGAGTGTGCTTCCAGCCCCTTGCTTCCAGGTACAGATCCCCCAACAGGAGTCACGTACGTTTCGTGGCTGTTGGAGCCAGGGCTTTGTCGGGGAGATGTTTCTGTAGCATTAGGGGCTAACCAGTGCTCCTCACTGCCAGCTTTTCTCCCTGGGATCCTTATGACAACTGAGTTTCAGCAACTGGATTTATCAGGAAAAGCCAGTGCAGCTGGGCTTCATGATGATGAAACAAGCACATAAGTTGGGAGCTGCCTTCACAGGGGGGCACTGATTCTCACGGGGCTTCCCTGCTGCTACCACTCCTGGGAATTCCCAGTGCCCCATTACTCTTATTTTATGCATTTATTAAATGCCACCAGAACTCCTTATTAATGAGTGCTGATCAACAGACAGCATTTTCTTCCTCACTTGCTGTTATTTTTACAGCAACATAAATGTACACTGCCTGTAACAAATAGCTGTCTGGGCAGATGTCCACGTGGTAGATAACCTTGTGGGGACCAGGTTCTGCAAACACTTCATAGCCTGAAAGTCACTCACCAAGTAGGTAGGAAAAAACACATGAGTTAGAAGAGCAGCAGTGTGTCCTCCATCATGAAGGCCTGCCCTTTGCCCATGGGTTGGGGCAGGATCCCGCCAACTTCCACGTGGAGCATGGAAGGACCTGGGGGTCCTGCGTGAGGTTTGGGGAGATATTTTGTATGGCAGTTCCCCTTGGGCAGACATGGTGCTACCTTGGGAAGTGCTTTGAGAAAGGAGCCCTGGAATCACAGTCTTCTGCCTATAACATTGAGATCGAATTGAAAAAAATAGCACAGGAAGCTGGAAATGCTGGGTGTTGAGGGATTTTAGCATGGGTAGTATTGTCCAAAACTGTGGCTTTGATAAAGTAGTGATGAGTAAATTAAGGGCTCAGTAGGCTGCTCATTCCTATATAGGTCCAGAGGGACGGGCACTGGAGAAAGACAGGGAGTCCAGGGAAATAGCTCCCAGATGTTGCCAGATGGTACTTCCAATAAAACGGTAATAGCTTTGCAGCTGGGGGTCGCACCCTGGGAGGTGCTTCTGGGGATGGCTGCGGTGTGACAAAACCCTGTAGTCTGTGCTGGCAGGTGGAGCTGGATAAAAGCCCCTCTCCGGCGGCGTGGTGCTCAGAGGGACAGGCTAGAGCAGGGGTCCAAGGAGCCGCCCGCGCCACATTAAGCATATGAGCAACTCTTGGCGCGACTCCTCGTTTTCTTAAATTGGAGCATGTGTCTGCGCTTTTGCCAGAGCAAAGCTGATGAATTTGTATCTGTCGATGTCCCATAGTAAAGCCAAGATGTGGCCTGCATGTATTAAGCAAAGATGCTGCTGGTGCTGGTCTCTTCAGGCTTCACTTCCACCTCAGAGCTGGGCATCAGTGAGCTTTGCCCTCCTGAAGGTGCTTGGGACGGGCAGCAGCCCTTGCCCCAAAAAGGCAACGATGTGTTCTCCTGCCTGTGCCTCAGGCCAGAGGAGCCGAGCTGTGCCTGGGCAGCTCCAGCATGACGCCCCAGAGTTTCCTCCAGGCCAGGAGAAGGCGGTGGCTTGCTGTGACAGTGCTTTTTCCAGTCTCTGGAGTTTGCCAGAGGGTTTTTTTTATTTTGGTTTGGCTTATTTATCCTCTTTGCCTTCCATAGATCATGTTCACCATCACCACAAGAGATCAGTTTTGCCATAGCAAAATACTTAAAAAAAAAAAAAAAAAAAATCATACACAGCAGCCAGGACATCTGTAAGTGCTGCTTGAAACCAAACACTAACCCAGATTCAGAAACGCTGAGTGCTGTATACTACATCACACTTTCTCACGAGAGTAAAGGTGAACATTTTAGAGTTTCTTGCTGAAAGGCATTTCTGGTTTGTGCATGCAGCGTGAGGTTTTTTTAACAAAATCAAAGGTGTGATTTATTTTTAAAGCGTTTTTCTTCTCTCTCTCTCAATCAGATTTTCTTTGTTACTCTTCCAGCAAAAATCTTTCTTGTTTCTCTACTTTTGTTGCATTTCTGGGCCAAATTCACCACTGGCTGAAATGGAAGCAGGTACATGATACAGTGGGTTGCATCTGCTTTCACCAGGAGTGACTTTGGCCCTCTGTACTAGACATTAGTTACTAGAAGAGAACGTTAACACTTTCTGGTCAACATGCTATTTAAAAATCACTTGTGTGTGTGTGTGAGTGAACTGGACATTGACTTCGGCCCAATCCTGCAGTTACTTGAGGGTGGATTACGGGGGCTCTGGTGTGGGTAGTTTTCAGGGGTGCCTTTGTGCAATATCCTCCCTGTCTGCTGCAGGCTGTCTGCAACGGGACTTCCCCATGCCTGTGTCTGCCGGCTACAGACCAAGCTAAGGGGTGTTGGCATAGGATTTGGAGAGCCTGAAATAATTACCCAAACAAAGGGATGTGCCTTTGACTGTTCCTCAGAGACATCCCACACCTCCAGACTACTCCTGGAGTCGAAAAAGTCATTGCAGAGTTGGGCTAATGGTCGTAACTGATCCATATAATTTCATGTTAGTTTATCATTTCATTGCGGTGTTTGCTGCTAAATGCATTCATGCTGAGTTACAGGTTTGTTTTTCTTTTCCTTCTTTCTATGTTTTTCCTTGTTTTTTAATTTCTTTTTTATTTTGCATAAATTCAGGAGCCTGCCTGCAGCCATGCTTGGGGGTATGCATGTCTCCACACTGAAATAACCTTTTGTTTCTCCAAACCTAGGATGGAAAGAGGATGTTTGGCACCTACTTCCGGGTTGGTTTTTATGGAACTAAATTTGGAGACCTGGATGAGCAAGAGTTTGTTTACAAGGAGCCTGCGATAACAAAGTTAGCTGAAATTTCCCATAGGCTTGAGGTGAGATGATTGTGGCTGACCTCAAATTCTGTCTGTGAGTTGCAGTTTAACTATTTTGCATCAGTTATTTAAGAGCTGCATTGCCACATTACAGGAAGTGGCGGAAATGAAAATCGTTGGGCAAAACCAGCGCTGTGCCCCTTGGAGCCTGACGCAAGGCTGAGCTTAGAGAAACAGTCACTTGGCAAACAGTTTGCAGAGGCCCATGCAGTGACCCAGAGCTGGGCCTGATGTCCTCTGTCCTCTTGCCAGTGCCACCTCTGCAGGAGGTGGGAGGAATGCAGGGAGAGGAGTCCCACAGGTTTTCCCTGATCTTGCAGCAAGAGCTGCAGACCTGCTATGATCATTCGAGAGTTTGTGGCATATCATACTGTGTTTGCATTTCTCTTCAGCCGCGTGGTGTAAATGGGATGACCTGGGCATGAAAAAAGGTTGAGATGCCTTTCGGGATCTGACTTTCAGAAAGTATTGGGTTTTGCTGTCATTTTGTTGCCTTCACATCATGTTCCTCTCTCCTAGAGATGGAACCCTCTTAAGGTGGCTGAATTTCAGAGCCCCTGAAGTGGGACATCACAGGTCTGAAGTTTGTTTCAGCCATGAACAAACAAAGGCAGCTCTGATTAATCTAACTGGGGCTTGGGTGCAGCTCCAGGTACCACCCCACTGATCGTCTGTACTGTGTAATGGTTAGGCTGGCCTGGTTTTTTGCCAACTAACCTGTGTCTAGATAATGTCTTAGCATAGTTTGGGGGACAGCATGGGTCAGAGACTGTTCCCAGTAAGCGCAGATGAGGCCATTCGCAGTGGAAGAGGAAGAGCATTTTAGCAGCATGGCTCTGGGCAGTGCCCTGCTACTTGTTCGTCGGGCCAGAGGGCAGACCTGGCCCTATTTTATTTGCTAGAATAGATCTGATGTCATGTTGTTGCTCACAGCAATTCAGCTGCTGTCACATTGTTTGAGGTTTAAGCGCATGAAACTGGGTTCACCCATTCACCCAGCCCAGCAAAGCCGCGCTCTGATGTGGCACCTGATTTCCAGGCAGATCCCATATTGACCCCAGTTTTTAGTTGAGCTCACAGACACACAGCAAGCTCAAACGGCTTGTTCAGAACCACACAGCATGTGTGCGTGCAGTTGGAAGGCTCCCAAGTTCTCCTGCCTTCCAGGGCATTAGGCTTGTTTTTTTCTGTTGCCCCTGGAATGCAACTGATTTAATTCTCCTAGGTTCAGCGGATCACATTCAGCCCTGGCACAGCTACTGTTGAAGGCATGTGGAGCTTCACCTCCCCTGAACATGCCTTTGTCTCTCCAAACCCCATCTCTTATATGGCTACATTTGATGGTTTCTTTCAATGCATTTGCTCTTGATTGTAGGGATTTTACGGAGAACGGTTTGGTGAAGATGTGCTTGAAGTGATTAAGGACTCAAACCCTGTGGACAAATGTAAACTAGATCCTAACAAGGTAAGAACACAAGTACAGGTTCAGAAGTAGAACTGGTCCTGAATGTATGCAAACTCAGTGGAACAAATCCTGCCCTGAATTTCACCAAGTAGACAATGAAATCAATGTATATAGTGTCTTGTGACTGCTTGGGATGACAGTTGGGGAAAATCATGCCAGCAAAGGAATGCACAGTTAGCCATTTTGTTCCCTGCCCCAGGCCCTGCCCTTGTAGTGGTTGGTGGGAAGGGAGGAGACGAAAAGGCAGCAGAGGCCCAGGCTGCATTTGCCTTTCTCTGTAGTCTCTGCCGAGTTCAAGGAAGGGAGTTTGCCATTCACTGGCCTCTGGCTTTTTTGCAGCTGCAGCATTTTGTCATTCTTGTGCCATGACCTTTAACCATAGCAGAAATAACAGGAGCATGCCAAGGAGACAAGACTGCCGCTTAGGGCAGGGCATCATCTGCAAGGAAAGGATGGAAACACTTCACGTAAATAGCATGAGAGGAGAGGGGCAGTGAGCTGTATTTTTTCCAGCCCAGAAACTGCTGAGCAACTACCAGCACCCCTAGTCCCTGTCAATGTGAGTGTGATTTTTCTGAGTAAAGGCAAAAAACAGTCCTAGTTCTTCCAGAGGTGGCTTCAAGAGGAAAGAAAGCAAGCTGGGTTATTGCACTGCTAAAAAGCAGGGCATAGGAGTCAGCTCTTCTCCTCTGGCACTGTACCTCACCGTGCTCACCTGGGTTCTTTCCTGCAGGCCTACATTCAGATAACCTACGTGGAGCCATACTTTGACACGTATGAGATGAAGGACAGGATAACTTACTTTGACAAAAACTACAACTTGCGGCGTTTCATGTACTGCACGCCCTTCACGCTGGATGGCCGAGCTCATGGGGAGCTGCATGAGCAGTTCAAGCGCAAAACAATTCTGACAACATCCCACGCTTTCCCTTACATTAAAACCAGGATAAATGTCATCCACAAAGAGGAGGTGAGGCCTGCACTCTCAGGGGCTTCCTGTGTTTGCAGGGAAGTATTATACAAGACTAAGAGAAGTGGATGTTGCTGAAACATAATGTACTGTTGTATGTGTAGTTTAATAGCATGGCCACGTCCCTTCACACCATCACATTAACACAGATGCACCCTCCTGGCCATCACGAGTCTACCTTTCCCCTCTCTGCTAAAGATGCAGAAAATTAGCAGAGAGCGAGAGCAGACAGAAATTCAGCAGAGAGTGAGAGCAGACAGCGCCGTCGGGAGCTGCTCTGGCTGTTCACTGCAGGGACTGTGCATGAGATTCCTTTATTTTGATTTTAAGAACACATTGTTTCTATTGAACTTTTCCCTGTTCCTATTCAACCTAAACTAAAACCAGACCAATTTAGAAAGACGGTATGTCCTGCCACCTCTTTCACCAGTGTATCCAGCTCGCAGCAGCTGGTATGCTCAAGGGCCCTTGGTGAGCTTCATAGTAGTGCAGATTGCTCCCTTCCGTTCTGCTTGAACAACGTGTCCTGTTGCTCTGTGTTACAGCTTACTTGCATGGCCTCAATGGACCCGGGCCAGCAGGGTCCTGAGGACTTATGGAGAGGTTTATCCCAAAGCTATGTTAATTTTTCAGGGGTAGATAGGAACTGATGTGATGCCTGGGTCACAATGAAAAATGCATTTTCATGCAAGGCAGGGAACCTGTGGGTGTTTAGGCACTGACATAGTGCTGTAACTATGGGTAGCTGATTGCAGTGACCACAAAGGGACATGAGTCTGCCTCCTCAGAAGCAATCTCAGAAAGCCCTTGAGTACTCAGATGCAGAAACACATTTAAAAATCAAACTTTTTCTTGACGTTCCTAAACCAAGACTAAGAGGATGCATTTCTAAAGTGCTTCTGCCCAGACTGTCAGTCCTATTGGTGTCCTCCACCACTTCAGTATGCCACCCCAAAGCGACCTTGGTGTTTCTGAAAGTATGTGTCTGGTTGACAGTCTCAACCATAACAAGCGTCCTCTATTCTGGCTACTTGCTCAGATCATTTTGACGCCCATTGAAGTTGCCATAGAGGACATGCAGAAGAAAACACAGGAATTAGCTTTTGCAACCCATCAAGACCCTGCGGACCCAAAGATGCTGCAGATGGTGCTACAAGGATCAGTAGGTACCACAGTAAATCAGGTGAGGATCGCTGTCCAAGTTGGAGATGCTGGGGTAGTGCCTATCACTCAGTGCAGCGGATGCTCAGCATTGGGCCTTATTTCTAAACTACCTTGGATTTTTTCCCCATTCAGTCCGTAGGATGTATTTACGGTCACTGATGGGTCTAGACCAGCTGCTCTCAGTGACTTTGCCATTTGAGTAAGAGCCCTGAAAATGCAGTTAGATCTGGAAAGTCACTGAGAAGAGATAGCCCTGCTCCCCCAATTACCTGCTCCTTCCTGGCATTCGTCTGCCTGCTTCTCCCCCTCTAAAAAAAAAAAAAAAGTTTTATTACTTTCCCTTTGGTTAGCCAGACTCTGGTGGGTGGAAGTAGGATTGTGTCCTGCAGTGGGTTTTGAACAAAATGGAAAGCAAAACTAGTGAATGGAGAAAAATTGAGGAAAAACTGAGGGAGTGTGAGTAAAGCTCTACTAATGCACAAGCTGGGAAAAAATGAGCTGGAGTTTCAAGTTCTGGGTTGAGTTTGCAGTGCTGGCAAACGCTTCCTTGGTTCCATCTGCACTGTTTAAACTTTGTCTTAGTTGTGAGTTGAGCAAACTTTGTCAAGAGTCTTTAATAAGAGAAAACAAATGTAGAATCTGTGCATTTTCTCACAGTTTTCCAAAAGCAGAGTTTTATTTATAAAAAAAAAAAAACCACAAACAACTAAAAGGGATTCAGTTGTCATGATGTTTGGTGATTTATGTCAGATTTACCAGCTGCAATTCTTCAAGATGCATTCTGTAAGGAAGTGTTGCATTTTACAAATGTTTCTGTGTGCAAGAAGTTTCTCCAGTAATTGGATATGACAGATGGTTCCCAGAAACTTACTTTTTCTCTTCTGCTCCTAAAGGGACCATTAGAAGTTGCACAAGTTTTCTTGTCTGAAATACCCAATGATCCAAAGCTCTTCAGACATCATAACAAACTACGGCTCTGTTTCAAAGACTTCACAAAAAGGTATGGAGTATTGTCTTCAAGCTGCCTGACAGATGCAGTTACCAGGCAGGAACATGTACAGTAACACAGGGGCTATCGGGAGAGAGGAGTATTCATATTCTAACTCCATCTGTCCAGTTTCCATATGCAGCTGTATTCCTCAGCTGTCTGGTTGGTTCCCTGTTTCTCTGGTGCTGCAGCTCCATGACTTAAGTTAGATCAAGTGGCTGAAGTTGTTTGGCTTTGCTCTTTATCTTCATGGCTCAGTTGTGAACAAGTGTTCCTGTTTCGGAAAACACAACTAGCCACACTGGCACAAATGAACTCACAGCTTGGAAGGGTCAGGAGAAACGCTGAATTTGCCAGGAGATTTAATTTCCTTCTGAAGTGAATTTCTCCAAATGGAGCGGAAGCATGCTGGGAGAATTCTCTCAAGAAATGTGCTCGCTGCTCTGCTTTCCTCTTGAGTAATGCAAACTGCAGTCTCAGTCCAGCATTGTTTGCAAGCACCAAGGAATTAAAAAAAAAAAATTGATGTAAAAATGTTCAGTGCAAATAGATCCAGTGGCAATGTAATTTTCCCGTATGTAATAAGTGGCATTGATGATACGGTTCTTTTCATACCCTTTGTTAAAATTACACCTTTCCAAGAAGAAGAGTTCCTGATGAACATCTCATAGTCTGCTATTTATTAATCTTTCCTGGGGAGAGCAGTAGATCTATCCATCTTTAAATCCTCTTGGACTGAAGTGGCTATGTGGAGATCAGCTTTTCATTTCTCTTCAGGGAGGATAAATGTAACTGGAGAGTAAATTGAAATTAAAAGGAGTTGCCACTCTGGAAGTGAAATGGAAATTGGAAATATGACATATCCTCTCTTTTCCCCATGGACATCATGTGGTTTAGCTGAGTCTTTATTGCCCAAAAGACAAGATAGAGAAGGATATTATGTGTCATCCCAGAGGAACAGACTTTTGTGTGCTATTAGATTAACAAGTCTCTAGCAAGCAGGTCTTTTTTTACGTGCCCAAGTTTCACAGGCTTTTCTTTTCTAGATGCGAAGATGCTCTGCGCAAGAACAAGAGCCTGATCGGTCCAGACCAAAAGGAGTATCAGCGAGAACTTGAAAGGAATTATCACCGGTTAAAGGAAGCTCTCCAACCTTTGATAAATAGAAAGATCCCACAGTTGTATAAGGCAGTGCTGCCAGTCACTTGCCACAGGTGGATATTTGATTTTACTCTTTCAGCAGAGATAAGGAGGGTGTAAAACTGGGGTGTCTGATCTTCCTGGTGAACCTGTGACATTTATTTGTTTTCAATTATGGCTCTTTTGGCTGAGTCCATCCCTTTTCCCTTCTGTCCTGACCTCAGAGCACATCCCCTTTCCCAGCAGTTATGGTAGGTAGTGTTTGCAATGGTTCCTTTTGTTCCTCATCAATGAGAATTTTTTTTCACCTGCATCCCATTCTTTTTAGATTCAAAACCACCCTCAGTGTGGCAGGATTTTGACACTTGTTTGTTCTCAGTAGAACTGGAATGAGGAGTTCCACAGGCAGGCAAGGTGGCAAAACAGTTGGTGTCTTCCATCCTGGAAGACTGGTCAGCTAGAGTCTGGGCATTTTGTTTGTCTGCAATGAGACTGAACATAAAAGCCCCACTGGGAATGTATGAAGCAGGTCAGAGCATATAGCACTGTAATCCACTGGCACCAGCTGCGGCTGAGCAGGGGGACTTTGGGTGCATAAAGTTTCTAAAAAAGCTCTGGCTCCCAAGATGGGGGCAGAAGTGTTTCCCAGCAGGTACTCTCCATGTAATCTTTGGCTTGACAACCCCTGTTGTGTCCCCCTGTCAGCAAGGTAGGCTAACGCAGTCCAGCAAGACTGCCCTGGCATCGTGGTCTCACACCAGTGAGTGGGGTGGGCGTTATTTTTTGGAAGGAGCACTGTTAGCACTGAGCAGGACAATGCCTGTAGGAGATTTGGGTGAATGTGGACTTCAGCTCGTGTCCACGCTGTTGGTTTAGGAGAATACAGCCCTGGTTTTGAACCTCTCCTCATGTAAGTGTTACTGAGCGGTAAAGAGCAATGGGGAACATAAAAAATGTGAAAAGATAAACTTGGCAAAATTACATTATAAAAAGAGCAAGACTTAGTGCTGGTTGAAGAAGGAAATGAGTGTTCCTAGCTCACACAGCAGTGCTTAGGATGTTTCTGTAGCTGAATTTGATGTATTTTTCTGTCTGCTGAATACTGCAGAAAGGTGGCCTTTCCTCATTACCCAGTTCTTGACTTTATAAGCTCTCCCTGGATCACATACCATGTCCTAGCTGTTCTCTGCTGGAGTCAGTTTTCACTACCTGGGGATGGGTGGGAGGAACAGTGCTTCCCTCCCCACCCAGGTGGGAGCCTCACAAGCACTTTTGTCATGGTAATTATTTTCTAATCTTGTGAAATTCAGCCTGTGCAGGGAGTCTAATACAGGTGTTCCAGGCAAATTCCGCTTAGAGGTTTATTTGAAAGACTCCAATAAAATTTCAGCAGTGCAGGTGGTTTGTACTGCTTCTCTACATACACATGAATTAAATTTTCTGTCAGCTTTCGTGCCAGTAAACCGTAGGCAGTTAAATGATCCCAGATACAGACCCAAAACCAATTAATTTGAAAAGCAATGAGTTAATGTCAGTGGACTTAACCTTTGTAGTAGCCAGCTGTAGAAAATACTGGAAATCAAGTACAGAATCATTCATCTGACAAGGCTTCTTATTTCATCATGGAAAATATGAGCTCATCATTGTATTTTCTCTCCCTCAGAGACTCCTTC